TTTGTACAACGGGGTTTTCCATGTAACTTAAGATTTAAAGCTTTCGTGACTGCAAGGATTTATCTTCTTTGGTTCTTTCGGTAAAGTCACGTAGAATGAGAATAAAATAGTAAATTGATAAAATAAAATAACGCAATAAAATTCTCACGACGTTTCGGCCGCTTGTGTTGTGGCCAAAACGCCGTGTGAAATTTTATTGTGTTATTTTATTTGATCAATTTATTGTTTTATTCTCATTCTACGTGACTTTACCGAAAGAACCAAAGAAGATTTTCCATGTAACTTAAGATTTGACAACTAAATTTCTTGTCTGATTGGATTACTCTGTGATTATTATTAATTACAGAGTATTATTATTCGCTTTTATCGCAGCGCTTAATTTTGTTGGAATTTCGAGAGTAGTCATTGATATCGTTATTATCAGCTTTCTATCTCGCCTAGATTATATCTATACTTGTGAGCGAAGTTTGATTTTTATGCACGGCGCTTTGAGATTCTTCAGTGTGAAAGGCGCTTCACAAAATAGAGGCTATTATTATCATCTCTCTGAAGCTGAGAGTGGTACCGTGCATTCCCGATTGTAAGACGCACCGTTCACCTTCTCACTTTTAAGCAAAAGAGTGGGGCCGCGCCTTAGAAGCCGGTGGGTACGTGCGCGCGCGTCTTAGAAATCCGACGAATTCGGTAGCTGGGAGGCGCCGTAGATTTAGCCCTGGAAGCGCTGGCGGTGCGCGTGAGAGAGTGACTCTCTCTCTCTCGGAGTCGGCCAGGAGACTGTTCACGCACGCGGGCAATGCGCCCCGCACGGCAAGAGAGCGACTGAGAATGCTCACCTGCTGAGAGCGAGCAACGGGGTGAGCAGCGGCGGAGATTTCACGACTGTCCACCCGAACGGTAATTCCACATTACCGTGACGAGCACCAGTATCTCTATAATTATATTGTGCACGACCCCACCAGGGGTGCTGGTGGGGTCGTGGTGGTGGTAGTGGTTAGCGCAGCAAGCTATCGACCTGACGATCACAGAGTTCGATTCCAGGCTACGGCTAAGCGTCACTGGCCAGTGGTATTTGCAACGGGTCGTGGGTCTCCACATTCACCAACCAGTGCTACTTACCAGCGTGGTGAAGTATGGTCGAATAATCCTCCCGCCTGACAGGGCTTTGCATCCAATCAAAGCAACGCCCTGTACTATACATATTTTTGTAAGGACCACGACTTCACCATTGTATCATTCGAATACCGAACGTGATTATGAACCGTTGCATAGTTAGTTTGTCTTGTGTGCACCTTTAGTTTGTAGTCCTTCCCCGCAGCTCCCGATTTGCACGGTTGACTAACGTACGGTATGGAAGAAGTTCAACATACACACATACATACAAGGACCTCCCAATAGTCAACTGCAGTTGCTCCCCGCGGGCCCTGGGCACGTGCCACGGGGCGCGAGTGTCATCACTGCGCAATGCGCGGAGCGGTGGGAGTTGGTGGTGGTGATGGCAGTGAGGGTGGGAGAGCTTGTTGTGGTTGTTGGGGTTGTTGGGGTTGTAGTGGAGGGGTGGAGGGGTGGAGGGATCTGCCCGCGGTAGTAGGGAGCGGTAGCGCTACGCTGCGCTACGAACCCGGCGACCCGAGTTCGATTCCCGCTCACGGCCAACACCGGTGACGATTATCTGAACCGATCCGGGGCCTCCCCTAGGTCGACTTAGCCTCAAACGAGTACCTGGTTCGGTGTATAAATATCGACCACGAGGGAGACAAAGGCGGCCGGGGGTAGTGCTGGCCACCACCCCCTAGTGTAGCGTCCCGGCCTTCATAGGCGCTGCGCGCTAACAGCACTTGCCCCAACATTCTGTTGAAGGCCAAACGGGGGGATCTTTGTCTTTGTGGTTTGGGGGTTGGGGGTGGGGTGGAGGGGTGGGGTAGGGATCCGCGGGCAGACGGGGTAGGGGTGCTCTAGGGGGGGTTGCTATAGGGGTGCTGCAGCCGGCACGGGCACTTTAGTTGGATGTAAGCGCGGCGAGCGAGAGCGCGAGCGAGGAGTGGCGCGCCGCGTCTCAGCAGCCGCAGAGCCAGCGGAGTAGAGCCTCACACGTGCAGTCACCTCGCTCGTACGGAAGGTGAGCGAGTGAGCGAGCGAGTGAGCGAGCGAGATAGCGAGCGAGAGACGGTGGCTTCTGTTAGCTCTTCGAAGTTTGTTCCCACGTTAAGACGAACGTGATAATGATGACGGTGGTGGTGATGATAATGCGAATAATAAGGGATGATAACGCGTCCCAGAGTACACGTCCACCGTAGGAGATGGAGAGATGGAAGTCGGCGCGCGTGTAGCTGACCGGTGGACTATTGTGCGTCGCACGATCGTGACAGATAGCGACGGCTTCGGGAGGCTTTCATCCAGCAGTGGAATGATCATGGCTCATGATGATGATAATGACGAACAATGTTTGCAGGTATGTTATCTATCTACTGCTGGACGAAGGCATCCCCACGTAGTGTCTGTGATCGAGGGATTGTGGAACCATACTTCACGACGCTGGGTTGGCGGAGTCCAGCACGACCGCTTGCAGATACGTGTCGCTCGTCACTGATGTCGACCGTGGCCGGGAATAGAACTTAGGTTGTTGTTGTTGTTGTTGTTTTTACCGCAATTTCGAGAGTTGAAACTCTTTAACGAAGCGCACGTGCAGATGCCGCGTCTCGCCCCGCACGTGTGCGCTGGCCGGGTTGTGTCCCGGTCACCGCGGTGATGCGCATCACAAGAGTATCGCATATCTAAGAGGAGCTAACCTTAATGGGGCAAGTGGCCCCGGTATTTCCTACATTACAAACCTTTGAATTTGATTTTGGCCTCAAGGTACAGACGGGGTGTTTTTTTTTTCTCCCCACTTCCCTCCGCAATCTAATGTTGTATCATTATCTGCCTTGACCCGTAATCTGCATGTCGCATGCACAGCAGTGCGGTAGCTCCGTCTTGGTCAATCCACTGCTGGATGAGAGTGTCGTCGCCGTCCCCTCCCTCCCCCATGTGCCCGCGTGGGTCCCGTGGGTACTTATTTGACCATACTTCACCACGCTGGGCAGTGCCTGTTGGTTAAATGGAGAGCGGAGCGATAGCAGGATCAGTTCTGATCTCACGAGCCACCGATGCTAGCCGTAGCCAGGATTCAAACCTAGGTTGGCGGGTGGTTCATAGCGCTGTGTCTTACTGTCGCGCTATATTCACTCTGCAATGTAAATCAATTCCGAGGGGGGGGGGGCAGTTGACCATACTTCGCACCAGGCCTGATTCTGATGTCTCTCGTCGCTGACGAGATGTGGCTGGGAATCGAACTGGGGTTTGGTCCATAGCACAGTAGCGCGCTACCACTGCCACAGCAGGACCGTTGAGACAAGTGCGGTTTTATCAAATACCTATGGCGCACGAGGAGGTGGGGTGACCAGCCATACGCCCGGCCGCCTTTGTCTCCCCCGCGATGTGCAACACATCGCACCATCTTGAGGCTTGAGTCAACCAAGGGCCGGTTCAGAATTCAGATGTTAGCGCGCGCCCACTTGCTACAACGACCGCGACTTCACCACCGCCGCTTGCCACAAGCACGCGTTTAATTTTCAAAACAGGGCGCAATGATGCACGTAATGGATGGCCCCCGCCCGCTTGAGAGTCTCTGGCGTGGCTCGGTGAGCGAGGTGGCGTGCCCTCCGATCCTCGATTCCCAGTTATTCTCTTATTAGAAATCCGCAGGGACGCTATTGCACTTGTATATGCGGAGTGAAAACTCATTGCGTTAGAATTATTTTGTGTGTTTAGTTTGTTTTCCTTCCCCCCCCGTACCTCCGATTATCGCGGTTGGCTACGTACGGTGCGAAAGAAGTTCAGCATACGGTGCATACATAACGCCGGCGCGGCTGTGTCCTGTGCTGTCCGGGAATCGCACTCACAGCGGATGAGTTTGCGTGACTCGTGAACGCAGCGGCACCCGTGGCTCGCTGTAACAGCTCGCGGTCTGTGTGTGTGCGTGTGTGCCTCGTCCTTGCTCTTGATATCACTCAGCAGGTGTCTGCATGAAATGCTCCCAGCTTGCGCATCCAATTGTTCAAATGGCTCACGTAACTAAAGTTCCCAGTCAACGCACACGTCCCAGCTATCGAGCGTGCCTTCACAGCAACCTGGTTATGCGAATTCAACAAACACGCGCCTCGTGCATGGTACAAACACCGTCGCTAATTGCCCCCAGTAACGAAAACCACCCACGAGTCTTAACTCTCTGTATAAGACACACCACCCCTTACAATCATCATCATCAACATCGCTATCGTCATCATCATCGTCAGCCATGTTCTATCCACCGCTGGATCAACGTATCCCGAAAGCCACCGCGAGCTCTCAACTCGTGGCCTTACGAGATGCAACAAATTTTCTTAGCACCCACGCCCGATAGCTGATGTTATCGCTTCCGTTCCCCGCGGTGGATGAACGGTCCTCCTCTGGAGCGAAGTTTGTTGGTCGTAGCGGCAACGTCACCGGTGACTTTATTGGGCTGTCACGTGGACTCCATCGCACGACGGAGATATGATCGGATAATGAATAGGGGAATGCGTAGGTTTTGAAGTCGCGGTTGTCATGCGGTGTGAGTCGTACGTATAGGAGGGTAAGGATAGGTGGGTATGGGAGTATAGGTAAGTATAGTTGCACGAGTAGTGGTGAGCACGGGGAATGTGAGTATAGGTGAGTGTGGGGAGCGGTTGTGTAGCTGTCAGCGAACTGCGCTGCGAACCCGGTGGTCCGAGTTCGATTCCCGCTCACGGCCAACACCTAGTGACGATTATCTGAACCGGTCATGGGCCTCCCCTAGGTCGACTCAGCCTCAAATTAATACCTGGTGTGGTGTGTAAACATTGCCACACGCGGAGACAAAGGTGACCGGTCGTGGTGTTGGCCACCCACCCCCTCGTGTGCCGTGCCGGCCTTCATAGGTGCTCCTCGCTAAAAGCACTTGCCCCAACAGTCTCTTCAGGCTACACGGGGGATCTTTGACTTTGTAGAGATGAGTAGAGGTGGGTGCTAATGTCAGAGTGGGGCCAGCCGTGCTACGGGCCACACTGCATCGCATCAACTTTCCGTGTGTAAATACCCGTTGAAGATTGTAATTACATTTTTTCATTCGAACATTGACGATAATGGCTCGGTTCCCGTGTCTTTGCAGCGATGTGCGGGGTATTGTTCTTGGGGTTTCAGTGAGGATTATTATTATTATTACTACGCGGAGAGGATCCGTCGCTCTACACTCGAAAACAAGAGACAGCTGTCATTGTCATCCTCGTTTCACAATCCTGTACTCGCAGCACTTAAAACAAGTTGCTCTTTTACCTAATACAATGGCGAGAAAAAATACGCATCGAGAGATTTTATTTTTTAAATATTCCCTAGCATTGAAATAATATTATGGCGAAAGAATTACGTTAATCGAAGCCGCGAATTGAAAAGTTCGAGCAATAGTTTTTGTTTTATGGAACGTGAAACAGTGTTCGATATCCGTGACATCCCACATATTCAGTGGCGCTCTCTATTGCAACATCTTCCGCCGTTTCAACTCGGTTGAGTGTTTGCTCCACGGAACATCCCGATTAGCCAGTTACCCCGCTAGCTTCGGTGGCAACGACCCGCCGCAACCACTAACTACAGAGATATTGTTGCTGTAGAGAGGAGCCGAGCCAGCAAACAGCCAGGTAACTCGCGGTGCAGATTATTATTATATTCACAATTGTATGATTGCGCATTCATGCGGAGAAGTGCACGCCGCTCGCCTGGTACCCCTTGTCCTCCTCCTCCTCCTCAGACATGATCAATCCACTGCTGGATACAGGCCTCCCGAAGCTATATCCCTCACCGTCGGTACTGCAATGCTGCATTCGAGCTGAGCCTGCTTAATATTGTGTGGAAAAAAACTAATAAATAAGCCATTTTCCACGCAGACAAGGAGGTTGACGTTTCGAGCGACCGGCCTTCTGCATATGGAAACATGAATCAATTATTTAGGCGGTGATACTTTGTTGGCAGTAGTGGTCCACAAATACCAACAACAATAACAAACTCAACACACTCGTCAATAACATTGCCTTAACACTTCCATGTGCTATGGCAGTGGTCACTGCATCGCGCGCTTTCAGATGCACTTCTGCGGCCGTCTGGAACGCTCTTCCCTCCGATATTCGGAAGCCACTGGAGGTATGCACTTTTAAATCTAGATTGAAAACTATTTTTTTTTACAGCTGCTTTTTATTTTTAGTGTGTTAGTCTTCCCCCCGCACATCCGATTAGCACGGATGTCTACGTACGGTGCGAAAGAAGTTCAACATACATAAGGATAAGAATTGGCCGAAACGTTGACTAGTTTTTTTTTAAGTCAGTTTTTGTGTACGTGAAAAATATGAGCGCTGCCTCTTCGTCCGTTTCCTTGATAAATGTTCAACATCGAGGGCACACGAATGTATTCGATTCGCTCCCTAACACTTCTGAGACGGTGTTGTTCGCTAGCAACTCAAACGCCGCTGGCATGCTTGTATATTGCCCGGAGATCAGTCATCCGAAAAGTCAATATCTGTTCAGTTGAAAGGAAATGCGCATGTTTTTTTTCCTCTTTGTACCATTAACTGTGGTGTGATCACTGATGCGGTCCCTTCGACACGCAGCTTAGCGTGTAGTATGCGTGGTACAGCAGTGCACGTGTGGATAACTCGCGCGACCCGCACGGATGATTGTCAGCTGGTAGTTACACTGAGATTTACCAACACGCAAAGGTCTACGTAATAGCTTTGCAACGTTCAAAAAGCTCTCAACCTTATACAAACCACCAGCTCCAAAATAACTGAATGTGTGGCTGAGAGCAGCTTTTAAATGTGGAGGGATAAACCAGAGGACCAAGAGAAAAATCGACGCTACCACGGGGAGAACATGCACACTGCAGATATACAGGCGTCAGGGTCGGGGAATCGAATCCACGACCTGCTGTATACGAGGCGAGGTAGTTAACATCTCGCCACCGCGGCACCCCTACTAGCGAATGCTGACACAGCGGTGTAATGGTGAGCAGCACACGGGACTTGCAATCCAGAGGTCGCCGGTTCAATGCGATCTCCCGCGGCGGCAGCGAAAACAATGCGTAGATTTCTGAATCCACTTCCCCCGACTCAATCCCCACTTCTGTTCCACCCAGCTTCCAGGATGAATGGCTACACCGCCACAGTTAAGACCACGGTTAGACGATGGGTAGGTCTCGTGCTGTGGGGTAAAGTGTGGGTACTCCCACCACCTCTTCCAAGACGTCTGTTACACCGTGCAAGAGAAGGCCCAGAGACATCCGCTGGAGGGACCTCTCTAGCGCGCCCTCTAGCGGAGGCCCTTTGACCAGCAGTGGCGTAGAGGATGACATTGCAGGGCTGCACCTGCACCTCGGGGCTTGCAGGGGGCACGGGTTGCAGTTGCTGGCGGCGGGTACGTTACGGCTACTAATTGACGTGATTAGGGGCGTGGATGTGGAGGCGACAGGCCGGCGTGCTAAACCTGGACTCAATTATCCGAAGGCAATGCTCACTGACGCACTCTGCTGTAACTACACTGCGGGGGAGGATATATATTGTGTGTTTAGAGTGCCAAAGGTTCATATTGAATTTATTAGACCCCAGGGCTTAATTTCAGTTGGGTTTTTTTGGGGGTGGGGGTGGTTGGAGATCCGGACGCCCGCCACACCACATCAAGTATTCATTCTCAATGTGGCTGTGGATATCAGTCACGTGCCGCTTACTCCTGTTTATCGGCGATCGGGAAAGTATGCGGTGAGAAATTGAGGCCCGATTACGCCTTCGTTGTCCCACACGTGTCTAGATCGTAATCATCATCAGCCATGATCAATCCACTGCTGGATGAATGCCTCCCCGAGCCGTCGCCGTCCCTCGCGGCGGAATCTCTTCCCAGTTTCCTGTTCGCGAGCTGATCTCATTGCTCCGTGTCCCACCGCGTTTGGCTGCCACTCCGTTTGATGTTTGTATGCACGTGGAAACCTCTTTCGTACCGTACGTAGTCAGTCGTTGTTAGACTCGGCCATCATCACCATCACCATTCCTCCTAGCGATGGGCCTCGTGGCCGAACTCACTGATTTACTCCGAACGGTCAGTGTGCTGGACGTGTCTGCAGCTTGCGTTTGGCTTTCTGATCCAACGTGTCTCTTGACTTGAGCACCGTCCCCTCTGCAGTGCCGGGTTAAGATAGTGCGGGGCCTGTAGCATATGTTATGAAGGGGCCATAAATAAAAACAATTACATATTCAAACACGCGAATTTTTTTACTTGCACAGTAAAGTAATTGTATTTTTCAATTTGGTATACGGCCAGATAATACGATAAATCGCTAACCGTAAACACCCGGACGTTCATAAAAGTTGAAGAATAACTGAACTGGAATTGATAGCTTGAAAGCATTTAGCGCGGGGCCCTTTAAAGTGCGGGGCCCGTAGCTACTACATTTGTAGCTACTTTTGCGACTAGGATAATCCGGCACTGCCCCTCTGTGCTTCAAGGCTCACGCTGGTTCACAGTTGGGGTCAACGGCTTGGTCGGTTCATGTCCATGCAGGTCCGAGAGAGCCAGACCCCGACACAGCAGTGGCCATGCTGCACCACGTGCTTTGTACACTGTGATATCCCGCAGTCCTTTACAGCCACCAGTCTCTCGATCCTTCACTCCCTCGTCCATTAATTCCCTCAGTCTCTCATTTATTCATTCCCTGAGTCTCTCAATACTAGCTCCCTCATTCCATCATTACCTCAGTCTCTCAATCCTAACTCCCTCATGCCTTCATTCCCTCTGTGTCTCATTCCCTCACTCCCCTCAATCCTTCATGCCCTCCTCATTCCTTCAGACCCCCACCCCCAACGGTCTTCTCGGCCCCGCGACCCCCGAGGATGCTGGAGACGTGTCACTGGGGCGAGGGTTCGCGCTCCCGGGAGCTGCACAGATGGATGTTTTGTTTTTGTCAGCCTCGAGCTCCTCCGGGAAGAAGGGTCGCTCGAGGCAGCGCCCCGCGAGGCGCCCCTCGGTGTGTGCGGGTCTGTGTGTGTGTCTGTGTGTCTGTGTGTGTCTGTGTGTGTGTACGTGTGTGTGTCTGTGTGTGTGTGTCTGTATGTGTGTGTGTGTCTGTGTGTGTGCGTGTCTGTGTGTGTGCGTGTCTGTGTGTGTGTGTGTGCGTGTCTGTGTACGATAGTGTAGCGGTTAGCGCGCTGCGCTATGAACTTGGCGACTTGGGTTCGATTCCCGCTCACGGCCAACACCAGTGACGATTATCTGAACCGGTCCCGGGCCTCCCCTAGGTCGACTCAGCCTCAAATGAGTACCTGGTGCGGTGTGTAAACATCGCCACAAGGGAGACAAAGGCGGTCGGGCGTGGTGCTGGCCACCCACCCCCTCGTGTACCGATCCGGCCTTCATAGGTGCTCGCTAACAGCACTTGCCCCTACAGTCTGTTAAGGCTATACGGGGGATCTTTGTCTTTGTTTTGTCTGTGTACGTGTACGTGTGTGTGTGCGTTGGGGTCTGTGTGTGTGTACTGTGTGTGTGGGGAGAGGTAGTGTAGCGGTTTAGCGCGCGTGTACGGTGCGTGTCTGCGTGTGTGTGTACGTATGTGCGTGGGTGTCTGCGTGTGTGTGTGTGTGTACGTATGTGCGTGGGTTTCTGTGTGTGTGTGTGCGCTGGACCACCCACCCCCTCGTTAGGTGCTCGCTAACAGCACTTGCCCCAACAGTCTGTTAAGGCTATACCGGGGGTCTTTGTTGTGTGTGGAGCGCTCATGGCCACCACCAGTGAAGAGTCTCTGAACAGATACTGGGCCTCCCCTAGGCCGACTCAGCCTTAAATTTTGTACTTGGGTGTGGTTTGTCAACATCACCACTGGGGAGACAAAGGCGGCCGGGCGCGGTGTTGGCCACCCACCCCCTCGTGTGCCGTGTTGGCCATTCATAGGTGCTCGCGAACAGCGTGTAGGCTATGCGGATGATCGTCTTAATGTGTATGTGCGCGTGTGTATGTGCGCATATGTGTGTATGTATCTACAGCTCAAGAATGTGAGATAAATGGTGCAGATAATTGTTTTTTGAGAAAGCTGTTAGGAGATGCCACAGCGCGTGTCCTCTGTTGCCAGCATCAAACGAGCCAGGCCACTCCAGTCGCTCACTCTTCCCCAGGATGTTTTAACCCTTCCGGAACATCCAATGAAACATAAAACACGAGGGGTTTTTTCTCCCCCGAAAAAATATTTGTTTTAGAAGCGTACATCGCATTTCTACCGTGCAATTACCAACCGCGCGAATACAATTATCGTCAGAATTCATCCATTTGAAATGTACACCAACTTGCCATCTCAAGCCATGATCTCCGTGTAATTGACTTCATCTGTAGACTAGAGCCTTCGGGCGATGTGATTATTGAAGTAAACGAGTATTATCCCGATTTATCGGTTCGATCATTCGACTTCATCGGGCAGCACGAAAGTAATTGAGCCGAAAAAAAAAGACTTCTCACTTCTCTTCCCCACGTGTGCCGCTGAACGGGAGGTGATGGGCGGGGCTTGGTGACGTCTCCGGTATCACCAGGCATGATGTCTGGTGCGGACACCACATTTCAATTGGCCCCGATTAATTGACCACGGAAAAAAGGACAGCCGATTAACATTTTTTTAGTCCGTCAAATGGCCTTAATCGATAATTGTATCGTCGTCTAGACCTATGTTGTCGGTACAATGCATACACAATCGCACCTGCGAGCACACAGAGATACACGGCAGCGTATCTCCTCAACTACATCACGCGCACAAAGCCCTACATTTCCCCAGGGGAGAATCGCGTTACTTCGTAAAGGAACTTTAGTCCATTTATAGGTTGTAAGAAATACTGTGGGCTGCTACTCGAGCCAAAAAACCTCTGAGAACGAGTCTTAGAATTCCTAAGATTCCACGTGAAGGATGAAGCTCATCGAGCAAAAACGAAATACAACTGTAGGGACTTCACATTATTAGAACGTCACGGTCAAAAATCACAAGTGCTCTTAAACCGGTCACTGCGCATTTATTTTTATTGCCTTGCATGCAATGAGCACAAGTTGAACAGTTAATTCCGTATGTGTTGTGTGGTGCTTTTTTATTTCTGAGAACTTGGAAAATAATTCACCAGGTTAGGATT